GGGATCAAGCCTGCAACCCAGGCATGTGCCCTGACCAGGAATTGAACTGGTGACCTCCTAGTGTGTGGGGCGACATCCAACCAACTGAGCCACACCGGCCAGGGCTGTTTCCTTATTTTTCACGTGGCTGGTAGGACTGTGTGGTCATGGCGGTTCTTTTATCCCATCGTCTACAAAGAGTTTCTAGACAAGACAGAATAAAGCAAGCTCGTCTTCGTCCACTAAACAGGAAGGTTCTGGATTGATGGTGGTCTTTGCCTTGGCCAAGACGGGGGTCTGCATCCTGGACTTCCTCCATTCTCTGCGGCACCCTGGCAAAGTAACACAGCCCAGCCCACCCCACCCGCCGTCTGCCAGTGAGCCATGAACAAACCATACACACACAGAGAAGCTTCTTTTTCTCTTCAATTTAATTGAAGTTACTTAGAAAAATAATCAGGCTTGAATGGCTTTTCCCGAAGGAAGGTTCAGGAACATTTCACGCTTCTGTTGGCAATGTGGAATTCAGCTTTCTCGAACAGTACAGGAAGATACAGGGAGAGTTTTCTACAACAAGCCCTCTACTGCATACAAATATGTAAAAAAAAAAAAAAAAATCACACCCCACAGAGATGTTAAATTATATGTCCGTATGCCGTACGGAGCATGCTCCTAAGAAAACAGTACGGATAGCCCCTTCCGTACCTGACAGAGTAGCAGACGGCAATGCGCCTGTGGACGGCCAGCAGGCAAGCTGGCTGTAGAAGGTCCTGTTGCCTGTTCATAGGGTCCAGCTGGCTGTGAGGGGAAAAGGCTGGAGGAAATGTAGGGACATGGGGAGTGGGGAGGTCAGTCATGCTGACATAGGAGTGGGCAAGGGAGGGATTCTGCTCCCCAGGACTGTGGGTGCATGCACACGTATCTGTGTGTGTGTGTGTGTGTGTGTGTGTGTGTGTGTGCATATGTGTGCACATGCGTGCGTGTGTGTGCATGGGGAAGGACTGGGCTGAGAGATGTGCTCTGAGCACCACCCACCGGGACAGAGTCCCCCGGCTTCTTGCCAGGTTAGAACAGGGACTTTTGCAATCACCAGGCCCCACCAACTAAGTGGGCTAGGGACTGGCTTTGAGTCCAGACACCACCAGCTAAGTTAGGGGATTTGCTGGCTTGGTTAAGGGAACCTTCTGTGGGCAGGATTCAGACCCTGGGCTTCCAGGCCTTTGCCATTAGGAGGACTGGTCTGACTGGACTTTCCACTGCCCATTGCTCTCCTGTCGCATCCGGGTCCTGAGCAAGCAGGATGGTGACGCTCAGCTGCTGGACAGGTAGGAAGGCAGGAAGGAAGGTCCCCCTCTGAGACACCGGGGTGGGTCAGCAGAATACCCTTCTTCCCAGACCAGCTGGGGAGGCTGGGGGGGGGGGGCGGGGTTCAGAGAAGATGCAGGGATTCCAACACTGTGGCTAATAGGTCAGCAGGAATGTCCTTGTAAGCACGGCCCTGGCGGCACCTGGTTTTGCACACACGGGTGGGACCCTCGAAAAGTGGCTCGGAGGTGGGACCCCTGCCTGTACTTTTCTCCAGCGAAGCATGCCCCAGAAAGCATTTCTCACAGTTCTCTTGAAACAAAACCCCACCAAGTTTTGTTTTCCAGGCACATTGTTAACCATGAGTTCTTTTTTAACCAAGGACAACACTATTTTCTACATTTGGCAAAAAAACAAACCAACAGTTGAATCAACTAAAAAAAATGTTTATCCCATTAGAAAATGGAACCTGAAGACAGAACGCAAGGCGAAAGAGTCGCTGCAGAACCATAGGAGGGGTCATCCCCCGAGGGACAATCTTTCTCACTGTAGAGAGAGCGGATGACAGAAGGTGGTCTGCACACAGCCCTGAGCTCATGCACACGGCGGATCAAAGGCAGGCACGGAAATGCGAAACTCAGGAAACCCAAGTGACTTCCCACTTAGAAACCAAAGAACACACAGCGAATAATTCCATCCGATGGAACCGAAGAAGCGCACATCCAGGGTGGAGCTCACTCCGCTTGCATTGAGCAGCCTAAGGCTTGAGGCATAGGGGGACCCCTGTGGCCGTACACCCCCCCCCTTCTGTCCTTACCGCCCAAAACTTCCCTCCACTGGCTTGGGAGGGATGAAGAACCATTGCATGGAAGGAAAAGTCGAATTCGTTTTGATAAGGTACCTCTGTTGCTTGGACACCGTGGTGCCGTTTTTTGATTTTGTGTTTGGTTTTTGGAGAGGGGTTAAGAAGAGGCAGTTCTTATCCTGGAAGAACGAAATCATTTGGGGCTAAATCAACCTAACCAAAGTATGCCCTGCGGGATGCTAGCTCTGGGAGATGATCTGCAAAATAAGAGCTCGCCGGTCCTGTCCGTTCAGGAAATGCTGCTGACGCAACGATCCTCTTGGGAGTCTCAATGCGCAGCACACATTCGAGGCTCTGAGAAGTCCCGCAGAAAGAAAACCGACTTGACTTGGTTTGCCAAGGACGTGTGATCACAAAGCTCTTAGTTGGCGTCCCGTGAACTTGACACTCCCTGGGACCTGTGTTCTGTAGGGCACACATTTTAAAACGCTGGACAACCTGTTTGACCCGCAGAAGCCCTGTCTCTGAGGAGAACAGTTTCCTCAGCTGGAAATGGAGACCAGAGTCCCGGTTCCAGGGCCAGCCGGAGACGGCCGCTCTGCGGGGAAAATGGGTTGCATCCATCTCTGTCCATCCAGGGTAGAGTCCCTGTGCCCTTCAGTGAGGGAAGAAGGTGCACAGCGTTTATAAATAGCTCCAGCCACTTCCTCCCGGGCACACCTCACTCACATTCAATAAAATAATTTCCTCGCTGAGCTGTGGCAGCTGCTGCTCATTGAGCTGGCTCCGAGCTTTAGCATACGATTTTAATAGTTTCTGTGAATAAATTATTCAGTTTTTCTTTTGGTTTGTTTTAGAATAGTCTTCTTACCCCTTGGCTATAGACTGCATCCAAAAAAAAAAAAAAAAAAAAAAAGCAAAACTTACCCACACCCCAGTCCATCCATCCCCTATTATTAGAACTATTATTATTATTATTATTATTATTATTATTATGTACAGTATCGGCTACCAACTCATTCACTAGCTGTAAGAGAGGTGTGGCTCCAATTTCAACCAAGACGTGGGAAGCGGCTGCAGGTGAGGGGTGTGAGCAGGTGGTCGTTAGCCAAGAACAGGAAGTGGGCGTTTCCAGCCTTTCGGAGGAAAGGGGCATGAATGACCATCGTGGGAGGCTGTCCTTGCTGCTCGTGCCTGGCGATCACAGGTGCTGATGGCCTCTTAGCCTTGGGAGGACTTGAGAGAGGGCACACGTGTGCACAGATATGTACCAAGAGTCCACCCCTAACCTTCATGAGTTCTTCATGAAGGGTAGAAACGCCAGAATCCTGCCATGGTATTGTGCGGCAGGAACAGAAAACAACATGGAGACATGGGTGCTGGGCTGGAGGTGACAGGAGGCAGCACTGGGAGCAGCTGAAGCTCCCCTTCCCTCACCCAGAGCAGACATCACTAATCGATCCCCACACGCTTCTGAGCAGTGCCTGGCAAATCTGTTCTGGGATTAAGAGTGGACACTACCCATACATTAGAGCAGGCACAGGATAGGAAGTGCTTTTGCCATCTATGGTGTGGGGCCTGGAGCGTGGATGACACACCATGTTTGGGGGCCTGCTGCAAGCATGTGGCTTTCAAATTTGGATCATAGAAAAATGCAAGTGTATAGGAGTCATGGACCTGCCTATAAACAGCCCAAGATATTGGAGGTTTGCTAATTGTCGAGCTGGATACCCAGTATCCATGTAAAGCTTCTTGAGGGCCTAGACTACCAGTTTTGTTCAATGCTCTCTCTGCAGGGCCTGGAACGAGGCCCAGCATATAGTAGTTGCTCAATAAATACTTGCTGACTATAAAGCAACAGCCATCTCCTCTTCATCACCACTGGCACTGCCAGTTAGAAATTTCTTTAGAAAAGCTTATTCTATCAGAGTATTAATTCTGGTGGCGGGGTGGGGGGTGGGGGGTGTGTGGAGTGGGGGTGGGGAGCTACAATCAGCTCTCTCCTTGGGTTTAAAAAAAAAAAAAAAATCACAGCCGAAACCGGTTTGGCTCAGTGGATAGAGCGTCAGTCTGCAGACTCAAGGGTCCCAGGTTTGATTCTGGCCAAGGGCATGTATTGATACATTGGTTGTGGGCACATCCCCAGTGAGAGGTGTGCAGGAGGCAGCTGGTCGATGTATCTCTCTCTAGCTCTCTATCCCTCTCCCTTCCTCTCTGTGAAAAATCAATAAAATATATTTTTAAAAACATCACATTTCTTTAGGGCCAGGGACTTTGGGGGTGACGGAAAATCGGTGTGGAATTCGTCCCTTGCAAAGGTGCCTCTCTTTCAGTTTATTTCTGGCAGAATGTCCAGCAGGGTGGCATCGACACCCGTCCCAATGGCTCTGATCACACGGGGAGTCTGTGAGCGGCGAGTGAGAGCATCCACACCCCCGCATGCGCGAGGAGAGCAAGCGCAGGACGAAACAACAGATCTCTTAATGCTGCCACACCAAGAAACCTGTACAGACACGTACGTTTAAATAACTATAAATAACATTCATTAGAACGTATGGAATGCACAGTTCGTGGAATTCCCCGGAACACAAGGAAACCTTGGAGACAGTACTCAGGTCTTAAAAACAAAAAACACCAAAACAGGACCCCCCCCCCCCAACCCAATTCTCCCTGCCAAGACGGCCGTCCTCCCCCTTCCCAAAGGATTTTAAATAACTCTCACTTTATGCTGCTCGCAGCAATCATCCCCCGAAAGAAATAATTACTTTACAAAATAACCCCATATGCATATAATTCTTTTTGACAAATAAAAAAATCTTAAATTAAAAAAGCAACGCTTCTCTCCCGCGTCCCCCCCCAACCCCCCCGCTTCTCCCTCCCCCCTCCCCCCCTCCCCGCCCCTCTTCCCTCCTCCCCTTCCCCACCCTCCCCTCTATTCCAGTTTCAGGTAGCTTGGCACTGAGTAGTTGAACATCAGAAAGTCGAGCTTGTAGACGTCGTACAGCTGCGCCTGGTGCTCGGCGCTGATGTTCTGGAAGAACTCGGTGGTCATCTCGTCCGTAGTCCGCGTGGACTTGGCGTAGGTGGGGAAGCGGAGGGCGCCCCCGACGCCGGCCAGCCGCAGCACGAGGTTGGAGTCCTCCTCCAGCGTCTCGTACTTGCCCACGAGGTCGTAGCGGATGTGGCACGGGTGGCAGAGCGAGTGCACGGTCTGCCAGTGCTCGTTGAAGGGCTCCTCGCGCCGCGTGTGCGGGTCCACGAGGTAGGCCACGAACTCCTCGAAGCGCACGTCGTCGCCGCGGCGCAGGGCCTCCTGCGTGGCGTTCCGGCGCTGCCGCCGGATGATCTTGGTGCCGTAGCGCTTGTGGAAGGACGTGTTGTACTTCTGCGTGAACTTGTTGCGGTAGGCCGACACCAGCCGCTCGAAGGGCTCCCGCACGAACAGGAACTTCAGGTAGCGCTTGAGGCGGTGGTTGATCTCGGGGATGCTGTACTGGTTGAGCGTCTTGAGGTTGGCCGCCACGTGCGCCTCGCTGGCCGGGATCTCCATGGGGTCGCTGTACTTGCCCCGGCCCGTCAGCACCATCATGAGGCGCTTCCAGTTGGTGCAGGCCACCTTGGGCACGTAGCAGTAGATGAGCCCGTGGTCCTCGTCCACCACCAGGTGCTTCAGGTCGCTGGGCGTGAGCACGCGCCGCTTGCGGCTGGCCGCGCTGCTGGCCCGGCAGGCGTCCGCCACCTGGTCCCGCCGCATCTGGTGCAGGACGGCCGTGCTGGACAGCTCGAGCTGCAGAGGGGACACAAGAGGGGGAGGAGGGGTCAGTGCTTGGGCGGGATTGGTAGGTGCACGGGGCCACCGTGGCGGCCGGAGCAGGCCACGGAGACAGCCGGCGGACCACTGAGTGGCCTATGTCTCCGGCCTCTAATTTTTAAAAAAATATATTGATTTTTTTTTACAGAGAGGAAGGGAGAGGGATAGAGAGTTAGAAACATCAATGAGAGAGAAAGAAACATCAACTAGCTACCTCCTTCATACCCCCTACCAGGGATGTGTCCGCAACCAATGTACATGCCCTTGACCGGAATCGAACCTGGGACCTTTCAGTCCTCAGACCGACGCTCTATCCACTGAGCCAAACTGGTTCCTGCTCCTATGCTTGCACTTTGTTCCATGCCGGGAACTGAAACCTAACATAGTCACTGGTAATAAAATGTAAAAAGAGCTAGCCAGGCTTGATGAACTCTTTTCCAGTCTCTCTCTCTTCATTTTAGGGTGTGGCCTTCTCCAGAAACCGGACCCTGAGTGGGCCCTGAACCACGCGGGTTGTGTTGAGGGATCCCACAGTTCCACTCTCCTTCCTTTGTGAAATAACATAATGACCGGCTCTATAACGCATGCATCACCCTCTCCACGCCTGGCATTTTGCTATGGCTACATACAGTTTTTCTTTTTGAAAACGTATTTGTATTGACTTCAGAGAGAGGAAGGGAGCGGAAGACAGAGAGTGAAACATCCATGATGAGAGAATCATTGATCTGCTGCCTCCTGCACGCCCCCTCCTGGGGATGGAGCCCGCAGCCCAGACATGTGCCCTTGACTGGAATCAAACCTGGGACCCTTCAGTCCGCAGGCCAGCGCTCTATCCACTGAACCAAAGTGACTAGGGCTATACATTTTTAACTTTTCACTGTACAACGAATTTGAACCGTTGTTGATTTATTTAATACTAGAGGCCTAGTGCATGAAATTCGTGCACTCGGGAGGGGGGGGGGCTCAGGCTGGATTGAGAGAGGGCGCAGGCCAGGTCAAGGGGCCCCACTGGTGCAGGATCAAGGCCGGGGAGGGACTCGGGAGGTTGGCCAGCCAGGGAAGGGTCGTCAGAGAGCTCCAGGGTGTGTCTGGCCCATCTTGCTCAGTCCTGATTGGCTGGACCCCAGCAGCAAGCTAACCTACTGGTCGAAGCATCTACCCCCTGGTGGTCAGTGCACATTATAGTGACTGGTCAACCAGTCGACTGCTCCTTGGTGGTCAGTGCACGTCATAGCAAGCAGTTGAGCTGCCTTAGCATATCATTAGCATATTACACTTTGATTGGTTGAATGGCTGACCGGACACTTAGCATATTAGGCTTTTATTCTATAGGATTACCAAGTGTCATTGTACCAAGCATCATGCTGCCAGGCACTGCAGATGCATTAATAAAACAGTACCCCCCCATGTCCAGCACCCCATCTTCCTAAAGCGAGCACGCAGGGCTGACATTTGATTATTCTATTTTGATTTTGGGGGGAGGGCACTGTTCCTACACACCCGTCACTGTGGACATCTGTTGCTTGTTGCTTCCTCTGGCACCTGTTCTCCCTCTGGGAACCTGTTCTCCATTCTCAGTTCCCTTTTCTCCCGAGCTGCAGAGCTGTGTGGATGGCCCCTGGAGCGTGGGGACGGGGAGGGGCCGGACTGGGAATGAAGGGCGCGGAGCAGAAAGACACAGGGACGTATCCCGGTGACATCATCTGAACACCTAGGCCTGTACGAGGCTGACACCAGACCCCTGTCTCCTGGGCTCTTGTTATGTCAGTGAGTACAGTTGCTTTGCTGTGTAAGGCAAGTTGGAGTCTGGATGATATTATCTGCAACAAAAACATCTGGGCATTTGCACACGTCACCTCTGAGCTTTTTGTTTCCGCCATGTTCATCTATCCAGTCAGATGCGCGCAGACCTAACCGTGCACGAGGCCCTCCCTCTGTTCTGCTCCGCTGGGAGGCACGCCCTCTTCCTGCAGGGCTCACAGGCCAGGAGGGTGCCAGGGAGTCAGCAGCCTCCATCGGGCCTCGGGGAAGATGTGTGCGCTCCTCTACCTTCTAGGAGCAGAAGTTCCTCCCCAAGAGGCCGTTCCCTCCCAGGCTGAGCCAGTTCTCATGAACCACCTAGACCAGAGGTTGTCAAACCGCATCTCGTGAGCCACATGTGGCTGTTTGGCCCCTGGAGTGTGGCTCTTCCACAAAATCCCACAGCGCGATCGAAACTTCATGGCCCATGCTCAGAAGTCGGTGTTCGGCCTGGGCGAGGCTAATTTTGAAGAAGTGGCGTTAGAACACCCAAGGGGTCAAAGAGCTGCAGGTGGCTCTCGGGCCGCGGTTTGCCGACCCACTGACCTAGAATCAGAGACAGGAGACCAGACCGCCTTGGCGCTCTTGCATCTTGGCCTCCAACGCCCTATTGTTCAGCCCCAGGTCACGGGACTCACTGTTCATTTTGAACAGGAAAACGATGACCTTTGCACACCCTGACTTCTTAGCAGATCTCCCCGTCACCCGAAGAAGAACGTTCATGCCACTAAAAACAAAACAACCCATCGTCCTAAAGGAACGAAGGCAGGCCGGGAAGGAAAAAGGGCCCACCCATTTTGCCCACTTGAAATGCGACGGACAGTTCTGAAGGCAATGCATTATTAACAGAGCGGAGAAACGGGGGACTCAGCACCCCTCCCGCCCCGCCGCCTTCCCCCCAGCTCCTTTCAGAGGGAGACAATTCTCTCTGCCTCCTGCGTCCCCAGGGAGGCCGCGTGTCAGTGAATGCCGCAGTCAGGACCACAAAGCCATGCACCATGGAAAGGACAGCAGCTATCGCTTTACGCCCCGTTGTAGAGCCGGAAAAGAACTCCTGGGGCTTCGCGATGTGGTATCTGAGGTTTCTCCCTCTTCCATTTCCCCCTCCTCCACGCCGGCTGGGGCGGCGAATGGCACACCTGTAGCAGCCAGGCACGCACCGTTTCCCCAGGACTCAGGGGCCAGAGTGGAGAGAAAGCAGCCCCTTCTCAATCGCATTTTCATAGCCAGGCCCTTCGAGGGGGCTGGAAGTCCACCTGGGCCTCCAGTGTTGAATGTTTTGGACAAACTTCTTTTGTAAAACTTTTTATTTTAAAATAAATACAGACGGGTGTTGATTTAACGTATTAAAAAAAAATTTAAAATGTTACTGCCAAAACGGGTTTGGCTCAGTAGATAGAGCGTCGGCCTGCGGACTGAGGGGTCCCAGGTTCGATTCTGGTCAAAGGCATGTGTTTTGGTTGCAGGCACATCCCCAAAAGGAGGTGAGCAGGAGGCAGCTGATGGATGTTTCTCTCTCATCGACGTTTTTAGCTCTCTATCCCTCTCCCTTTCTCTCTGTGAAAACTCAATAAAATATATGATAAAAAAATACGTTACTTAAAATATGCACAAATGTAAAAATAGGAATACGTGACCCACACAAATGGGAACATGGGAACAGATATATTAATGGACGGACAATGTGGTTTTACTGGAACCAAAACATGTCTGAAAACATGTCTGCCACTCGCTGTTTGCCACTCGCCGTCTGCCGGGGGCAGGTTCCCGGCCACCTGATACTCATTCCTCTGTGCGCACAAGGACTCAGTTTCCCCACCGCTTCTCATTTCCAGTTCCTGTAAAACCCAGCCCCCAGCAACCCCCATTCTCTTTACTCGCTACAGACCCCTCCTCTGTCTGCTTTCTGTCTCTGCCCATTTCTGATGACCCCAATGGCGATTTTCAACCTTTTTTTCATGCATGGCACACACAAACTAATTACTGTAATTCTGCGGCACACCAAGAAATAGATGATTTGCTGACCCGACCAAAAAATAGGTATCATTTTGATTAATCCACAATGGATGGCTATTGTTGTGTTGGCTGTTGTCTTTTTAAAAAATTTTTTTTATTTGACAATCTTAAGACAATGGTTGGCAAACTCATCAGTCAACAGAGCCAAATATCAACAGGACAACGATTGAAATTGCTTTGGAGAGCCCAATTTTTTAAACTTAAACTATGTAGGTAGGTCCATTGTTATTAACTTAATTAGGGTACGTGGTATTTTGTGGAAGAGCCACACTCAAGGGGCCAACGAGCCGCATGTGGCTTGTGAGCCGCGGTTTGCCGACCACGGATCTAAGGGAAAAGAGGTCAGTGCCCTGACTAAATAGTCAGGTGTTGTGAGTTGTAAAAATTCTTTCGGCTCACGGGTTGAAAACCACAGGCAAACAGCAATTTCTAACCTTAAAAACATGCGAATCTGGCCCTGTCACTTCCACACGGGTCCCCAAGCAGGGCTCACAAGAGCTCCAGTAAGAGTAGTAACTCCAGCAATGGACACCTTCCCTCAGTATCACCCATGGGGAGGGGGCAACAAGAAGACAAGGGCATGAAGAGGACTCGCTGATGGACAGTTTGCTCCCTTGTCACTGACGAGAACACCTGTCTTTCCCAGCCAAGTTTTACCCAATTCACTCAGCAGAGGATCATTGATCTGGTAGCTATCTGAGCTGTGAGAGGAATCTCTTTCTTCTTTCACTCCCTTCCCCTCTCCTTTTTTATTTTCCTCCCTAAAGGTATTTGAAGCCACCACGAAGGATATAGATGCAGTATAAAACTGAATTAGGAAAAAAAAAAAAAAAAAAAAAAAAAAAAAAAAAATATATATATATATATATATATATATATATATATATATATATTATACACACATACACACACACACACACACACACACACTAACCACACGGGCTGTGCTTAAAGATCTCACTCAGCTGTGGGCTTCCTAGTAGCAAGAGCAAAAAGGGAAATGTGATTAAATCTTTTTTTTATTTTGTGCTTAGAAAGAAGCAGCATTCCAAATGCTTGGGGCGGAAAATGGACGAGATTTTAAGCGACTCAGAAATTCCAGTCAGCGAGGGAGGCTCTTGGATTCCATTTTCTCACTTTGGAGTGTTTGGAGGGTTACT